AAAAAAAATAAACAAAATTAGAAATTAAAGAACAAAGAATATGGTAGACAGCTCTCTAGAACTTTCAACATGAACAGTTTTCAAACTCAGAAAACCTGAGGAGAAACGTTGCTCAGGTCATTAGCATACTTGTTTTAGAAAATTAATGCTGAATGTGGATGTTTTGGTGTCTCCTTTTACAGTGGCATTTGTGCACAATTAAAAGGAAGCAATTTTAATGTGGAAGATTATCCCTCAGTACTGAAATAATCTTATAATGGGCAAAAGAAATTTCTGTAGAAATTTTCTTTTCCTCAGTTTAAGATTCACTACTAGATTCAGTTGTTTAATTAAATGCTTGTTATTTTTTTTTATTACTACGAGGAGGATACAAATACTTATCTTTATTTTACTTTTTTTTTTCTTCTTTGGTTACCTGATGTTTTTCATGAAAATTACGAATGTGAAAAAGTAATAAAGATAGGAAATTGATCTCTGAATTCCACACTTGAAGTCTATAATATATTTTATATAATTCAGTTAAATGAACTTCACATACTTCTCAAATGTTTTTATTGTTGAGTAGAATGTATAACCTTTGTGAGGAATTTCCTTTTAAGAGTTTGGCTTAGGAGGGTACTTAGGTTCCGTCATTGACTTTGCAGCTTCTCTCACTCCTTGTGATTTTCACGGAAGCCCTGAATAGAAGTGCTGCAGAGGCAATCTTTTCAAGACTAACTTATTCAGCTTACAGACCAGGGCTCCAGAATTTATAAGTTATTTGTAAAGCTGACTTCCTCGAATTTCATCAGGCTGCTTTCAGAAACCAAAAGACCCTGACATGAACTTTCTCATTATACTCCCTCTTGACATTGCAAGGAAAAAAGAAAAACCCACAGAATACCAAACCACGCTTATCACAGCAAAAAGAAAAAAAATGAGTTTTGAAATTATGTACTTAATAACCCTCATGAAACTTTAATAACCAAGTTTTTAAATAAATTATTCACACCAGGAACAAAATAATAAAGATTATTATAGTTTCAATTTGTATTCTCTAACAATGAGTTCCCAGTCTGCCTTGACATTTCTTGGATATTTGAGAAGAACTGATATAGTCAAGCCTACCTAAAACCTTATTAGAAAGATAAGTATAGAGCCAACCTTTTATGAGATCTCTAGAGAAGATAATTCAACAACCTTCAAAAACCCACTGACAATATTTAATGAAATTTATGTGATGTACTTATATTATTGAAAGAAAAAAGTAAACTTCTATATAAAAAACATTGCTGTCTCTGGAGTTGGTGAATTGATCATAAGGTAGTAGGAACAATGCCTGCTCTTTATTGAGATCCACGAGGTTTATAAACTTTATTTTATTTAACTTGTGAGCTTTATAAGGCAAGTATCATGCAGGAGATACAGTGCCAGCAAATAATAAACATTTAATAATTTAGTTTGTTAAACTGAGGCTTCACGAAAATAGGGGGCATTGTGCCTATTACGAAGTTGAAAAGAAAGTCTGAGAGACAAACTAACTTTCTCAAGATCCCACAGCAGA